TCTCTATCATACGATGAATATCTCTTTCTGCGCTTTTTTGACATAGATAGTTTATCATTATTAAGTGATCGGGACCCCGATCCCGGCTATCAAATGAGGCTTTTTTGCAGACCCGGCCCTGGCCCCGCCAAAATTGTTAGATTAAGCAGGGGTTGATAGCTGGGCTATATTATTTTTATAATACAAATTTTTCAATACCTAATCTATTATAATTTTATGCTTACATTTACTTTTTATTAAATACTGGCAAAGATTTATATTTTTTAAAATCTAATTTACTTATAACAAGATTGCAAGCAACCACTATTAAGTTACTTTAAAATAGATAGCAAGTTAAAATACTAGAAAACGTATAACTGAAAACTTAAAAAGTTGTAAATTGTATAAAAAAGGAAAAAATGAAGATGGGTAAAAATTATGAAGTTTTTTTGATGTTCAAGGAAAAAAACTGATTTAGTAAAATTTTTTATATCCAAATATAAAAGTTTATCGTTATCGAGCTGATAGTTTTATTGAGCATTGAATATGATTGTATTTGTAGAAAAAAGAAATGCAACCTTATTACAATGGGAGAATGGCTTAAGCTTGGCAAAAAAAGCAGGTCTAATTACATTTACAATGTGCTTTTAGACTTTGTCTGAGAGTAGTTATTTGTCAGTATAGGGATAGTTATTTGTCAGTATAGGTATATAAGAGTTGTTATTTGTCAGTATAGGGAATGCCAACAATATTGCAATATTTTTTTGCAATAAATAAATGAGTTTTGTTGTCTAACAAAAATTGTGAATTTTAAGTCTAAAATTTAAATCCTTAAACCACTGCAAGCCTTAGGCTGTTACAGAAGAGAGATCAGATTTAAAAATGGCTGCTTGTTCTAAGCAATTAAAAAGTGAAGATTTTTTGTCAAGAAAAAAGTATAAAGTTGAGTCGTTAGCAAATAAAGCCACTTTGGATTTCATGAAGATTGTTGTTGTAGATAAGAAACAATACAGGAACTAGTATTGAATAGATTGAACCTCGTGGTACCCTTAAAGCTATTTGAAATATAGAAGAGGGTGGGTCTTCAAGAACAATTTTACTATTGCAGTTAGAAAGAAATAATTTATAAACCTCAAAAACTCTATATAAAGAAACTAATAACAGAGTAAAGACTAATTGCATGATAGTTGGAAAGTTCAAAGTGTTTTCTAGAGTTTTGAAAAATTGGAACCACTTATTTAGCACTTTTTAAAAGTTTAGAAAAAAAGTCCAGATACAAAACTATTACATCCAAATCATTATCAATTGAACTTGTGATAAAATCTAGAGATTCCATTAAGTTGATCACACAAATTTTATTATTTACAAATCCATGTTAGTTTTTTTTGATTAATTTATTTTCTACTAAATGTTTCATCATTTTATCTTTAACTATTTTTTCCATGACTTTACAAATTACAGATGTTAAAGATACAGGTCTATAGTTGCATGGGTTTAACTTGTCACCATTTTTAAATAGGGGGACGATATTTGCACACAACCATAATTTCGGAAGTTTACCCGTTTCAAATGATTTTTTAAACAATAACAATATTGGTTTGGCTAAAGTAGATTTGCACTCTTTTAGAACTTTTGGATGAACTCTGTCCATTCCAGTTGCTTTATTAGTGTCCAGTTTGTTTAAGTATTCTTCATCAACAGAGGCATTAAAATCTGGATTTTCACAGATTTTTTGTGTTTCTATATCTATTATTGGAGCAGATAAAGAGTGTGGTTTATTGAATACTGATGCAAAATACTCATTCAATGTATTTGCAATTACTTTTAAATCAGTTTCGATGCTACCATTTTTAGTTGGATTGCTCTTATATTGTCTTTGACTTTACTTTTATTGTTAATATATGAATAAACTTTCTTGGGGTTAAACTTTGAATTTAAAGCAAAATCATATTCAAAATCTTTAATTCTTTGATTCACTTTTTTTTTAAAACCATGTTTAAATCTTTGTATTTTGCAAGTAAACAATTGTCTCTGAATTTCTGCCTTCGACATTCGAACCAAACGTTTCTTTTTTCTTTTGACAGCGCTTTCAATTTTCTATTAATTTGAATGCTTCCCGGTTTTATGATAATAAAACCACATTTTGTAAAAATAGAATAAGATTATCGCAGAATTCAACAAAATCAATAAGCAAATATGTATTTTTTTTTTAAGGCCAAGACCAAAACAATCAACGCCAAAATTTTCAAGGCCAAGGCCAACAGTTTCAAGGCCAAGGCCTCAATTTTTGGCCATAAGGCTAGGCCAAGGCTCTGCTTTTTTAATATTGGAAAATTTATAATAGAAATTTTAAAATTTATGGAAATTTAAAAGTTGTGCTGTCTCAAAAGTGAAAATAATAATTAAAATTTTTAAAAAAGATAGTGTTGATGTTGTCAAAACAATATTTGATATGATTGAACTTTCTTTATCTCACATATTAATTATCTCATTTATTTCAGGAATTGTTACTGACAAACTACAAATTACCTTTTTTTAAATCTAGAAGTCAATAATTGATGGGACTGGAAGTTAAATATTTTGAATCACTCGGTGTAGTTAAGGCGATTTACAAAATATTTGAATTCTTTTATTTGGAATTAGCATAGTTTTGTCAGCGTATTATGTCCAAACAAGATCTTTAAATGTTATAATTTCTTTTGCTTCAGGTTATTATAATATTTAAAGAAACCTTTGTTTTTTATATACAATTTTCAAAATCTTTTTACTACCCGTAATAATGTATCTAAAGAACACTATTTTGGATGCTTTAGATCAATTCCGCTCATCGGCATTAACATGAATTTAGTTAAAATCTTTTAAAAAAGTTTCTTTATTTACTACTGATCCTAGTTGTAATCGGTTCTGACGTATATTAACTATACATAGTTGTCAAAACACACTATTTCTATCAATTTTCACAAAATATACTGGAATTCTGACCAAGAAAGAGCTTATAATTATGGAAAATTGCCAATAAACGATCAGAACAGATCATAATGTTAAACTATAATGTTCATTTCACCTAAAAAACTTGTTAATATAAAATCTTATTCAAATTTGGACGAGCGATTGTGATTTTAAGATGATTTTTTTTTTAAAAAAAGATTCCACGGTTTGGGTTTTTTCGCTACAAACATTTATATTTTAAGATACCGCAAAATTTATTATTTTAATTTTTTTCGTCTTTTCATAATTCACAGACCAGACTATTTAACGGAAATATGTCGTAGTCAACAAAATATCATAAAGACGCTATAATATTTTTAAAAAGCCTTAACTACACCGAGCATAGACCAATGATATATTAAATAACTAGATGTCTAACTTGCTGGATTTGTTAGACAAAAAATGAAGCTGCTTTTTTTTGTTTATAACAATTGTCCGCCATTTGTAAAAAGGCAAAACCTGAAGCCGAAGTGTGAAATAAAAGTTTAAAATTCATGTCAAAAGTTCAAAATAAATTTAAGATAATTCAAAAACAAATTTTAATATTTATAAAAGATTTTTTATAAGCCTATGTTAATTAAAAAGTATTATAATTCATAAAAATGCTTCAAAAGCGTTTGTCGTTTTACTATTCTATTCAAAACTTTAATACATTTTTAATAGAAAATAAATTAAGAATTCATAAATTATTATTTTACAAGTATTATAATTTCCGCCTAACAATTTTACGTAAATAGTATTTAAATTTAAAATATATTTACTTCATTTAAGAAAAGAAAAGTTAAAAATATTTATTTACAAATTTGATTAGCCATTTGTAAAAAGGGCAAAAAGTGGCTTCACTTTTGGAATAGAAGTCAGACATCAAGTTATATAATATATCATTCCCATAGATCTTATGTCTTGTTTATCCAGTTTATCCACTATTTTATCCTTTTTATTTATTTTTAGTATTATTCATATCTATTTTTTTAATAGTTCATATTATTCATGCTTAACCTGTTCTGTTCTTCATATTGTTTGTACTTAGTTTTTAAATAATTCAGAAAATTCATATTAGCATATTAGGTTTTTTCTATTCTTAATGTTGTTCAAACTTATATCTGAAAAATTTTTAAAAAGTTTATTTTAAATTTTATTTAAATAAAATATTTGAAAAACCCAATTGAAATAAACCTTAGTTTCTTAACTTAATTTCAAATTTTTTTATAATTACGCCTTATATAATTTTTATATAATTAAATTAATTCAAATTTTTATATAATTACGTAACTAAATATCTATTAGTGCATAACGTATATAAAATACAGCCAAACGTCATTAAAAGTAATAAGAAATAATTACAAAAACAATAACGGTTGTACAGAATTTGTGCGTAAAAGTTCCATTATATCTAATAAATAACCTTAGTAAAATTGAGTTTTTGAATGAATAAATATTATCGACTTCATTTTCCCGCTTCAAAAACAAACAAGAAGATTGCTGAACTTCCGATAATAGAACTCTAATATAATGTTTCCCGTTTATATTTAAACTCAATTGAAAGTTATAGAAATATATATTTTTTAAACTTGCAATTAACTTTGTTGTTTTTTGCAATCCATTTAATACTTTAATGAGAAAAGCAGGTCATTAATAAGAAAAACGTTATATATAACTGTATATATAACGTTTATATATATATATATATATATATATATATATATATATATATATATATATATATATATATATATATATATATATATATATATATATATATATATATATATATATAACGTTTATATATATATATATTTATATAACTATATATATACACATATATATATATATATATATATATATATTATATATATATATATATATATATATATATATATATATATATATATATAACGTTTATATATATATATATTTATATAACTATATATATATACATATATATATATATATATATATATATATATATATATATATATATATATATATATATATATATATATATTATGAAAATTATCTCTATTTCTTTAGATAAAAGAAATAATAATAAAATGAATTATCGCTTGGTTTTAGTTTACTTGGTGTTTTGTTTGTCTTTTATAACTTTAACATTATTAAATGCTTCATTACTATGTAACAACCAATGGTCCAATTTAATAGAAAGCAAAAATGGAGACAAAGATGTATCACTCTTTATTAAACATTTCAACACGGATTATAAAGCAGGTTAGTAAAAATACTTCAAAAAACTAGAAAATAGACAACCATCTGGCTAATTAAATGTTTTTACCAGTCACCCGTTTACTATTGTTTAAGTTATTTTAATGGATTTTGTTGCCTGATGTGAAGTAAACAAGTATAACTATTATTATCTGCATAATAGTAAGTATAAATAACGACTAAATACGGAGGGCAAAAATAAAACAAATTTATAATTTTTTTGTTGCTAAAAAATATTAATTAAAATATATTTTAATTAATGTTTTTTAGCAACAAAAAAAATCATAAAAACACATGTAAAATATCATTTTACATGTGTTTTTATGATGTTATTTTTAAATAATAAAAGTTTAAGATTTTTTATGGCTTTTTCTTTGTTGTTGTTAAACGAATATTTCAGTTTTGGGGTGACATAGATAGCAATGCTTAAGTCATCCCATGGGCCAAGAAGCAAGCAAAGCTGGCGGAATGTTTTACATCTAATGCATCTTTTACGATTATATGAAGTGAAATCAAACAAAGCGAAAATGTACCAATACATCAAACCTAAATCTAAAGACCGAAATTAGACCCAAACCTCTAAAAAGTTTGCATGTAGTGCAAACTTTTAGATGCGGTAGTGGTGTAGTGGTAGAGCGCTCGCTTCATAAGCAAGAGATTCTGAGTTCGATTCCCACCACGTCCCTGGTAATACCGCGCTCAACTTGTTTCTCCGCGCAGTGGCCTTGTTCGTCAAGTTTTGTGTTTCGGAGTTATAGAGTTGAGAGAGGGTTTTAACCACAAGTAGCTTCCTTATCTCTGTAGTGGTCTTCTCAGCTTTGGGGAGGTGAATTACAAAAAAAAAAAAAATTTGTAAGATTTTACATATATGGATTCATTTTTATTTAAGAGCTTGTCCATTTCATTAGTTTAAATTTTTTACCAATTTTTTTTTTAATTTCTTTGTATTATTATATTATTATAATACTAATTGACCGGACCCAAAAAAAATACGGGTCTTTGTAAGTTTATTCTGCTCCGACCTTTTCTATACTTTTTCCATTATATATATATATATATATATATATATATATATATATATATATATATATATATATATATATATATATATATATATATATATATATATATATATATATATATATATATATATATATATATATATATATATATATATATATCCTTGCTGTCCAGACCCGTAAAATGCGGGTCTTTACCTAAGCGACTATTATACATATATTATTCACGGTTGTTCCATAAACCGCCGGCAAATTCAACTTATGTTAAAGACTTTTACGCTTATAGAAGTTTGTACCTAACGCTATGCAAATGGCAGAATTAAGAAGATGACGTAATTTTAGAAAAAAGGAATTATCGAGAAAGTGGAGAATCATTGCAAATCTAAAATCGAAGTTTCAAATTTTCTACTTGGATGAGATAATATATTTCATGCTTTTTTAAATACAATAACATAAATACAAAAATTCGAAATGAGAAAAATAAATTTGTAATTATTAGAAATGCTTTCTTGTATTAGATACGATGTTATAAACAACGTTATATAAGATTTTTTTACATTTTCATATATCATCTTTGTTTTTATATATTGGGTGGACACGGAAAATTTTAAATTGAGATTTTTCTAAAACCATTATTTCTTTTTATTTGAGTGGGTCAGAAGCCAAGGGGTACAAGTGACATTTTCATAGTTCTGAGATACAGCTGTTTAAAGTTAAAGTATTTTTGTTAAATATACTCAGCTGTTGTTATGTTTTTCCAGTAGAAAGCAGCACAGGGCAGAGATTCACTTGTATCCCTTGGCCACCAACAGTTTTGTTTGCTTCTTCTATCAAATTCTACACTTAACTTAATTTTGGTAAAATTGTCACTTGTACCCCTTGGCTTCTGACCCACTCATTTCAAGTTTTTTGAATGTTAAATTTGTTTACATCAATTAGGATTTTAACTTAATTTTAAAGGGCTTGATAAGCTGTTTGACAAGAGATCAAATTTTATAACGGGTTGATTCCATCATTTTGCAGATTTTTTTCTTTTTTCACCTTAATGGTGGCATTAATTCAATTTTGAAGTCCGTTTTATTTTTGTTACTCCACCTGATTTACGGAAAAAAAATTTTACTATCGGCCAAAAATCTTCAATCTTGCGCTCTTCAGAACGATTTGGAGGATTCGTGCCTAGAAAAAATTTTTACATTATTATCTTTGCTCCACTGTAAAACATTTTTAAAACATTTAGAAGCAGCAAGATCAGACCAAAAGAGACATTGGTATTTGTGTTTTCTCATAAATGGCTAAAGTCTTTTTTGGGGGCATTCTTTGATGTAGAGATCGGCAGTCAAGGTCTTTTTAGTAATAAAACGAGAGGATTGCATACTACAGCTATATATTGCTAGCCACACAAGGAGCTTGGATGCAATTTTTTCTCGTTAACTATATTTAAATTAATCATCGACAGGTTTATCTTTGTTCTCATAGTAAAACTATTGACTAGGAAATTGTGGAAAATTCGCCTTGCAATATGTTTCGTTGTCTTCAATAATGTACATATCCACCATTATTTTAACCCAAATCTTTGAACGTCGAGTTCCTTTAATTTCATCATTTAAGATTTTCTTAGGTGTATTTTTTTTATAAAATACTTCAAGCATTTTTAAGTTAATAATAATTTTTTTAATATAAGAACGCTAAGACTTGAAGTTTCTTGCTCAATCTCGTTGTGACGGGTTCGGATTTCTTGCAATTGAACTAAGAATCAACTTAACCTTTTTGGATTTATGGAAAGTTTTCTTTCTTCCTCTTCCAAGTTTTCCTTCGAAACATTGAGTAGTTTTGAACTTATTTATAATATCTATGACTGTAGGTTTTGGGACTTTAGTACGTTACGCAAGTAAACGATATGAAGTCGATGAATATGAAGTGTATTTTTGCGAAATAAATTTACAACTTTTTACTCACGGCGTAAATCTTCTTTCCTCCATTTTTCTTCCGCAGCAGACGGCTGCTGCCTCCCGATCAATTTTTAGCGGCAAAATGTTCTTTCTTCCACCTCCAGTGGCTTCTGCTTTTCTATTGGCGGCCGCAGCCGGAGCTCTTTTTTAGAGGCAAAATGTTTTGGAGGCCGACGCCAATAGAGTGGCGGAAGCCAATGGTGGCCGCCTCCAGAAGAAATTTTGGAGGCAAAGCTATTTGGAGGCCGCCTCCAATGGCTTTTGCCTCCTAACTGGCTGCGACCGTCAAATTGGAGGCGGAAATATTAGCCTCCCACCGGCGGATGTGATGAAAAATAATTGCTCGTTTGCTTTAAAGCAATTAAATATTAACTAAAAACAAATGTTAAATACTTGACATCAAAATTTTATTTGTATTATTTATTGACTATTTGAAAAAAAATTTGAAAAAAAATTATAACTTTGTCAGAGCGGTTGTTTATCTAGTATTATCGAATAAATTAGTAATTTTCATTTCAAAGCAAATATTAAAAATTAAAAACTTTGTTTACATGCCTTAAGCAAAAAAAAAAGTTTATGACAAATAATTAAAGTTTTTGATCGTTTGATATTTTGTCACCCTTTCGTCACGCTAAAACTTTAATTTTTCGACCATAACATTAAATTATTAATTCTAGTCATTATATTGTAAAAATATTTGAAAAATACAACATCTTTTAACATTATTAAAAATTAATAAAGTTAATTTATTAAACATTTATTTATTTTTTTATTACAACAAGTTTATTTATTACAACAAGTATTTAACATTTGTTTTTAGTTAATATTTAATTGCTTTAAAGCAAACGAGCAATTATATTTCATTACATCCGCCGTCAACAGCTTCCGCCTCCTTAAAAAGTCGGCCTTTCGGCAGAAAGTTACTTTGCCGCCGGGCGGCATTATCAACTCTGTTGAGAAGTTATTGATGTTTTGGTTTTTCAATTTTTCCGATGAAATTATCAAAAGAAATATGATAGCAAATTCATTTCGATATGAACTAAATAAAATTAAATTTGTCTTAAATAATCAATGTACAATGTGGTTAAAAATTTTACTATGTGTTTCAAAATATTGCTCAATATTTTGTAATTAAATTAAATATTGCTCAATATTTTGTAATTAAATTAAATATTGCTCAATATTTTTTTCATTAAATTAAACAATACAATGTAAACTTTTTTTAGTAATTTTTTGTAATAATAATAGTAATTATCTCATTAATAAAATAAGTAATAAAATGAAAAACGTACATAATAATGTCCAATGAACACTTATCAAGTTATTTAGCTAATATAGTTATATTTTGTTATAATCTACTTTCATATAAATTTTTGGTAGATAGTAAAGAATTGGCACATATTTGTAGATAATTAGGCGTTTAAAATGAATCTATTAAAAATAATAGTTATTTTTTTTAATTAATGATAGTAGATTATAAATAAATATCACTACATTTAGCTTTAGGGTTTGGACTATTGTAATTGTAATGAAAGCAATAACAGAAACAATAACTATAGTTACTGTATTAACTTTTTTAGAAACAATAACAAAACTTGTTATTTACAACTGTTGTATACTGTAATTCAATAACGAAAAATAATGTATTGCAATTCATGTTCATAATACAATAACATTTATTGTGGTTGTAATAAAAAATTTTATTGCAATGTCAAATTATAATAAATGTTTTAACAGTCCAGTCTTCGATATATGTGACCTTGAAATAGGGTACAACTAATATATAATTATTGATTCTATTTCTATTTTATTTACTGAATATATCACTTGTCCTCGTTGCAAACTTCATATAGATCTATAAAAGTGAGTTTGATCTGACCTCTACTTCTTTGGCTGCTGGGGATAGCCATGATCAATTACTCCACTTAGTTATTTGCTTTTACATAAAGGACCTATCAAATTGTTTTGAGACTTACTCAACTAACACTTACTGTAATATAATTTTGTTTTTTATTTCCCTGAGGCTTCTATGGCTGTA